AGCATTGTCCCATGCCCAGGAAGGATGTCAGTTTGATTCCTGGTCTGGGCACAAGCCCAGATTGCAGATTCAAACCCAGGTCAGAGGGATAGGGCAGGTTCAACCCAAGGTCAGAGTTGGCAGGTCCAGTTCAACCCCAGGTCAGGCTACATTCGCGAGGCAAGAGATTGCTGCTTCTCTCTCTTTCCCTCAATCCTCTCTCTCAAATCAATAAATATTTATATTTTTAAAAAATATTTAAAGAACTATTTTTTGAAAAAGTAGCTCCTAGCCTGGCCTGTGTAGTTCAGTGGATAGAGCATGGGCCCATGGACTGAGAGATCCCAGTTCAATTCTCATTCAAGGCACATGGCCTGGTTGTGGCCTCGATCCCCAGTCAGGGACGTGCAGGAAACAGAAAATTGATGTTTCTATCTCACAATGACGTTTTGTTTTGTTTTTAATTTTTTAAATGTGTTTTTATTGATTTTTTTTTTTTTTTTGAGAGAGAGAGAGAGGAAGAGAGAGCAGAAACATTGAAGTGAGAGAGAAACATCCATCAGCTGCCTACTGCACACCCCCTAGTGTGGATGGAGCCACAACCTACGCATGTGCCCTGACTGGGTATAGAACCGGCACCTCTCAGGCTGTGGGAAGACACTCAATCCATGGGGCCACACCAGCTGGGCCTCACATCGATGTTTCTATCTCTCTCCCTTCCTCTCTCTCTCTAAAATGTCAATAGAAACAAATTATATATTAATTAATTACTTAAAAGTAGCTCCTAGGCTACTTATCCACAGAGGTCTTTCCCAATTCAGATTTTTCCACATTCACTCCACTGCCTTTAGGCATTGGTTTCTATGATTGATTTTCTAATCAATCACCAAAATTTCAAAACAATAGTGTTTTATATTTCTACCAAACAAGTAGTGTTTTAAGGCTAATTTTACTAACCTTCTTTATTGGAGGAAGTTATTGAACAAGGCTATGGAATAAACTCAAACTTATAAATGTTGATGATAATCTCTTTGCAGATTATAATTAAAGACTTTGAATCTAGCAGTCATCATTAAAGTACATTTCACTAATGTCTAATAGGATTCAGGGATTATGGCAAACAGTGGCTTTCCTCTCACAGTGCATGCATTCTTCTTCACCCCTTGCAGACATGGTGGGCCTTGCAATTACTTTCAGAAGATGAAGTAAGGGGAAAATGTGTGTCTCTTCTTGGTGTTGGCTTCCAGGCTCAGTGTGACCCTTTAATGCTCCCTCTTTCTCAAGTTCTACTGACCGGGTGCTGTGACAACCCACACGTGAGAGAGTTAGTTTCTTGGGTGGATAATAAAGCAGTCCCCTGCTGACCTACACTGCACTTTACAAGAATAAGCACTAACATTTCTTGCTAAGTAAGCAACTGAGATTACCACAGCCTAGCATGGCTACTCTGATCAATGCAGGGGTCCTTCCTACCTCAATGAAAGCTCTGCTGAGCATCTTTGCAAATTATGGAAATAGACGAATAATACAGAGATATGCAAAGTAAAACTGTTTCCATACATTGTGAACAATACACATACAGCCTTCCAAAGAGAAGCATGCTCTAAAATGTGGCCCATTTCACATAATGTTACAACAAGTATGTGCAGATAGGAGGTTATATACGCGTTGGGTGGCTCGGTCTGTTGGAGCATCACCTCATACCCCAAAAAGATTGCAGGTTCGATTCCTGGTCAGGACACATACCCAGGTTGTGGGTTGATCCACAGTCAGTGTGCATACGGGAGGCAACTGGTCCATGTTTCTCTCTCACATCCATATTTCTCTCTCTACCTCTCCCTTCGTCTTTCTCTAAAATCAATTTAAAAAATTTTTAAGTATATCTGGAGATATTTTTCATGTTTTCTATGTAGATTTATTTCATGTATTGTTTTTAAATAGTCACTGTCACCTCAATGTAAAAAAAAGAGAGAGAGAGAGAGAGTTATTTGTTGGAGGACCAGTGATGTAATACTTTTATGGAATCCCGGTCAGGGCACATGCCCAGGTTGTGGGCCTGATCCTCAGTGGGGGGCATGCAGGAGGTGGCCAATCAGTGTTCTCTCTCATTGATGTTTCTCTCTCTCTCCTGGGCCTCTCTCTCTAAACATGTGTAAATAGTATAATTGCAAAGAATTTGTCATAGATTTGCATGCCTTTCCCAGGTGAAAAGGGGACTCACAAATAAAATGTTATAAATACTTTCAGAAAATAAAGGATAAAGCCCCTGTCTTATGACAATTAGAAAACAAGCACAAATACACCATGCTTCCTGTGAACAGAATATCCCAAGAATTAAACTGTGACCATGTGAGGGGACAGGCCACCCCTCCTATGCAGGATGTCCTCACATAGTACAAGGGGTTCCTTTGGGGAAGGCAGTTCAATAAGACAGGAGCAGGGTAAGGGCTGTGGGCTGGTCTAGGCCCAGAAAAGCTGTAAAACCAGTCAAGCAACACCACAGCTGACTTCAGGCCCAGCTGCATAGAATCACCCCAGCCCTGGCTCCAGCCAATCAATCAGGGGAGATCTAGAACCTGAAAGGGCACACCTGGCAAGCTGCTGAATATTTTATTGAGATCTTCCCTTGGGACCTCCCCTAAACTCCACCCTGAAAGCCCTTAGGACTGTGAGGACACTGCATTGGGGGCACACGGGTGCGATTCCTCTCCCCTCTCCCTTCACCCTCCCCTCGGGTGCATCACCTTGAGCTTCCTCACTTCCAAACTCCAAGGGCCCTTCCTTTGCCTCCATAACTTGTTTCCTAATCTCATTTCTTCTCTAAATTACTTCTTCTACCTTAATGATTTACTAAATAAATGTTCTCTTGTAATTTGAAAAATACAAATCAACTTGTCCTAACCAGAGTGACTCGGTGGATTGAGCATTGTCCCTTGGACTGAGAAGTCCCGGTTTGAATCCCAGGCAGAGAACATGTCTGGGTTTCAGGCTCAACATTCAGTAGGGGTGTGCAGGAGGCAGCTGATCGGTGATTCCCACATCAATGTTTCTTTTTACCTTTTTAAATTTTTTTTTTTACTTTATTGGTTTAGAGAGACAAGAAAGGAGAGGTACATAGAGATAGAAACATTGATGAGGGAGAACATTGATCGGCTGCCTCCTGCATGTTCCCCACTGGGGATTTGGCCCACAACCTGGGCATATGTCCTGACCGGGAATTGAACTGGAGTCCTCTTGGTGCATGGGTCGACGCACAATCATTGAGCTACACCGGCTGGGCAATTTTTTTTTATTGTAGAAAGTATTACAGATGCCCCCATTTTTCCCCATGGACCCTTCTTTCAAGCTCCCCCCCTCCTGTCTTCCCCAGCCTATCGTCCCTGTGGATTGATTGTGCTTATATGCGTGTAAGTTCTTTGACTTATCTCTTCCCACCCCTCCCACACCCTCACAATGATATTTCTATTTCTCCCTTCCATTTAAAAGAAAAATCAATAAAAACACATTTAATTTTTTTTATTTTTTATTAATTTATTTTTGTTACAGATGTTTCTCCTTTTTTTCCCCATTGACACCCTCCTCCCCATCCCCTCTACTGCATACCCGACTTTGTTTCTGTGTCCATCGGTTATGGGTACATGCATATAAGTTCTCTGGTTTATCTCTTCCCTCCCCCACCTCCCCCTTTTTTGAGGGTTGTCAGACTGTACCTTACTTCCACGTCTCTGGGTCTACCCAATTTCTCGCACTGTTATGTTCATTATATTCCACAAATAAGTGAGATCATGAAAACACATATTTTGTTTAATAGAATAAAATAGCCTGTTCAGTATGGCTCAGTGGTTGAGTGTCGACCCTGCACCAAGAGGTCGCCAGTTCGATTATCCGTCAGGGCACATGCCCAGGTTATGGGCCAAATCTCTGGTGGAGGGCAGGCAGGAGGCACACAACAATGTTTGTTCGCTCTCACAGATGTTTCTCTCTCTCTCTCTCTCTCCCTTCCTTTCTCTTTAAAAATCAATAAAGCAAAAAAATTTTTAAATAAAATATCTGGGATCATGTGACATTCTAAGCAACACTGTTATGTTCACACCACAAAGGCAAAACCCAAGCCACTCAGTTTGCTTCTGGTGTCAACCTTATCACCACCACAAACACACACCAAGGGGGTATGAAATGGCGTATTGCTCACTTCATGAGGCTTTATGTGGAGAGCGGGGTGGGTACAGGTCCCAAACCAGCTGGAGAGAAGGGACAAAAGCAACTAGCTTGGGGTTTTTGGTGGGTGGAGGAGGCTCTCAGGGGACAGTTCCTGTGCAGGCAGGGTCTGGATTAGAACTGCCCCTCGGCCTGGGAAGGAGCACTCAGCCTGTCCTAACGGCTTGATCGGATGGGGGACAAAGGCTGAAGACAGAGGGGTGAGGGTTAAAAGACATCAGCAAAGCCCTGGCCAGTGTGGCCCAGTTGGTTGAGTGTCACCCCATACACTGAAAGGTCACCAGTTCAATTCCCTGTCAGGGCATATACCCAGGTTGTACCCAAGTTATGGGTTTGATCCTCAAGATGGGTGTGTACTGGAAGCAGCTGATTGATCTTTATCTCTCTACCTCTCCCTTTCTCTCTCCTCAAAAATCAATAAAAACATTTTTTAAATTTATTTTTTGTTAATCTTCACTCAAGGATACATTACTATTGCTTTTTAGAGTGGAAGCGAGGAAGGGAGGAAAAGAGAGAGAAACATCAATTTGAGAAACACATCCTTGGTTGCCTCCTGCACAGCCCCCAGTAAGGCTGAAGATCAAACCTGCAACCCAGGTATGTGTCATTGACCTGGAATCAAACCCACCAGCCTTCCGTCCGCAGGCTGACGCTCTAACCACTGAGCCAAACTGGCCAGGACAATAAAAACATATTTTTAAAAAAAGACATCAGCAAACATCAAAAATAAACTTGGATTTTTTATTACAAGTACTCTCTATTAACATAGGAAGAACGTAAATCATACAAATTTACAAGGTGGTTCAGCATTCTTCTCTGACTATCCTCATAGTAAGTGATTTTGAAGAAGGTGTGCTAGAGAAATAAGGCATAAGCTTTTCTGCAAAACTGTCACTGAATGTATACAAATGTGATCTATTCTTCAAATCATAAAATGAAACTTCTCCCAACTCATAGTCCAGAAAAATGCCAATCCGTCTAAGGTTTACTGAATCCCATGTGCCAAATGGACTAGTCAGGAGCTCAATTTGCCAGCAGCCATTTCTTGGGGTTGGTGACATAAGAGCATTTCTCGGGAAAGATTCTTTACACACACCTAAGGACCATGCACCTAGGCCTCCTATTCCCACCTGCCAGAAATGCCTGCCAGCAGCAAAGCCCTCGGAGCTCAGGACAGCTGGGGAAGGAGTAAAGGCCTGGTGATCATGAAGACCATCTACTGTCCTATATGTCACACTTTTTCTATCTCTTGAGATACTGAGACTTGGATGGGCAGTTTCAGGATCCAGTGACAAATCTACCTGAAATGTGCTCATCATGTTATGCAGGCCAAAATAATGTGGGGGGAGAGTGAAACTCGCCCTCTTTAATTCATAGGAGAAGACTGCTGGGGTCTCTAGGTTCTCATACCTGTTGTGGGTACTTTCAACACCTGTGAGTAAATCCAGGTCTGTCTGCAAACACTTACTGATAATTTCACTAAGGAGACTTTTTAATATGGAACTGTGGTTGCATATTTGGTTTTTCCCTTCAGTTACTTTTTCTTGAATACCTTTCTCTTCAGCTAGCAAACTAACATGAATTGCATCTTGCTCCTTTTCCCAGAAATGCTTAAATATTTCAGCTTCAGAATACAATTCACTCCTTCGATTTTCCATCTTCCATCTCAAGTCAAAATCTTTGGAGATTTGCATTTTCAACCCCTTTTCCGCATCTTCCATCTGCTCTCTCAGGGGCCCCAGGTAGCTTTTGAGCTTCATCCTGTGACTGGCTGCAGCTTCCTCAATGGGCATCAGGGGGTGACCCCTGTGGTCGGAGGAGTCCGTGCACTGAGGACACAACAGCTCCAGGTCCTTCTCACAGAACAGGATCAGATCCTCTTTGTGCTGCTCACACAGGGGATTCTCTTGCCTTTTCCTCTTTTTCCTCATGGTGGGAATCTGCTTAACCATCTCAGTCATGTGACGTAGCTGGGGGTTCCTCCTGAAGTCCCTGTCAGGGCAGTGGTGGAGGCAGACAGGACAGGGGAAGATGTCCTGTAGACCTTCCCACCGCTGGTGGATGCAGGAGCCACAGAAGTTGTGCCCACACTCAATGGTCACTGGGTCTGTGAGGTAATCCAGGCAGACGGGGCAGCTGGCCTCTGCTTGGAGCTCAGCCAGGGAGACCTCAAGGTCCATTGTGCCGTGAAGGTGTCTGTCTGCAGAGACTCTTCAGTCAGTGTTTCCCCAGGAGCTAGGGAAAGTGAGAAGCTGAGGTCTGCTCAGTCCTTGGTCTCTATGGAAGGCGGTAGGAGCTTGCAAGAAGATTCCTGGCCACCAGATGATGTCCAGTCTTCCTGTCACCCTCTCCTGTATTTAATGCCACCTGCTTCCAGTGATGAAGATACTTGCGGTCAAAGAACCAGCAGAATCCAAGTCACATGTGGTTTCTGTGGACAAAAAGATATTACCATTTAAAGGACAGTTCAGAAAAATAAAAAGAAAAAATTAGACATAAGAAAAAGAAAACCTACAAAAATAAAAATAAAGTACATGAATGGAAAAGTAAAGGACAGTTCAGCCCTGGCCGGTTTGGCTCAGCGGTTGGAGTATTGTTGGCCCACAGACCAATGAGTCGTGGGTTTCATTCTAATCAAGGACACATTCCTTGGTTGCAGTTCCAACCTGCCCTCGTCTCAGCCCTGGTCAGATCGTGCAGGAGGCAACCAGTCAATGTGGCTCTATCACATCGATGTTTCTCTCTGTCTCTCTCTCCCTCCCTCCCACTCTATCTGATAATAAGTAGAAAAATATCTCAGGTGAGAAATAAATAAATAAATCTACCAAGTTTCTTTTAAAAAAATAAAGAAAGAAAGAACAGTTCAATCAGTGTTAATCCTTCTTCCACTATGTGAAGAGTATGTTAGGTAAACCAAGTTACTTACCATGACTATATTTAAAGAAAAGCTAGCACCTCTGGCCAGTTTGGTTCATGTCAGCCCTTGAACCAAAGGGCAATGGATTCGATTTCCAATCAAGGACATGTACCTGAGTTGCAGGTTTGATCTCCATCCCTTGTCGGGGTTGTGCGGGAGGCAACCAATTGATGTTTCTCTCTCACATCAATGTTTCTCTCTCTTTCTCCCACCTCCCCTCCCTTCCAAACTATCAAAAATAAATGGAGCCCTGGCCGCTTTGGCTCAGCTGTTGGAGTCTTGGCCTGCGGACCAAAGAGTTCCGGGTTCGGTTTCCGCTAGGGGCACGTACCAAAAAATAAAATAAAATAAAAAATAAATGGAAAATGCCCTTGGGTGAAGATTAAAAGCAACAAAATAAATAAATAAATAAATAAATAAATAAATAAATAAATAAATAAATAAATAAATAAAATGTAATAAAAAAGGAGTTAGCAATTAAGATTATCATATATTTTGTAATTCTAAATCAATTAATTGATTTAGGCAAATTTTTTATTGGCCTGAACCATCACAACAGGAGTGACAAGCAGATATTATAGAACTGTTGAAAGGACTACATAACACTTGGTTAAGTTTTGTCTGAAAAAATGTAACTAAATCTCATCAGACTTCCAACCACCTATTTATAGGAAATAACAAAGGTTGATGAATCCTGTGAAGGGTGATCGGTTTAATTTAATGTGTCAAATTCATTGGGCCACTGGATGCCCAGATTGCTGGTTAAACACTAGTTCTGGGTGAGACTGTGAGATTTGTGGGAGATATCAGTATTTAAATTGGTGGGGGAGCTTTGAGAAGTGGCAGTAAGTGGCCAATGTGTCTTATCTGAAGCGTCATTATTACTAATTGAGAAAAAATAATGGTGGATGATCAAAACAGATGGCCCTCCCCAATGTTGGTGGATGTCATCCAAATCACTGAGGACCTGAAGAGAACAAAAACTAGAGGAATGTTGAATTTCTTCTCTGCTGGGCGGAAGAAACTACAACATCCAACTCATATCCTGGACACTCTTGGTTCTCAGCCCTTCAGACCCAGACTGAAATCTGTAACATGTGTTCTCAGCTTCTCAGGCCTTCCAACTAACCACCGTCTTTCCTGGGTCTCCTGCTTGCAGACGGCAGATCATGGGACACTTCAGGCTCCATAACCTTGTGAGTCAATACTTTCTAATAAATCTCATTCTACATTCATACTATTGGTTCTTTCTCTGATAAACCATTAGAGCTTTTCTCTGATAATACACTGAGTAAGCAATCAGTACCTTCCACAATATAATAAACTCTACTGAAAATTTGACCACATTTTTTCAACACAAATATAAAGAGAAAATTTTAAAAACCCATGGAGTGATGCATAGAGACATGACTTGGGGTGGTGGAAACACAATACAATGTACAAATGAGGTATTATAGAATTGTACACCTTAAACCTATATAATTTTATTAACCAATGTAACTTAAAGTCAATATAATATGTAATAAAAAGCCCATGGAGGAATTAAAGTAGACTTGAAAGCCATACTAATCAGCCCGGCCAGTAGCTCAGTGGATTTAGTGTCGTCCCATGGGTTGAGAGGTCCCTGGTTTGATTCCCAGTCAGGTATATGCCTGGGTTTTGGGCTCGATCCCCAGGAGGGGGTGTGTAGGAGGCAGCTAATCAATGTTTCTATCTCTTGCTCTCTCTCTCCCTTTCTCTCTCTCTAAAAATAAATAAAAACAATTAAAAAAAAACATACTTTCATAAAAAAGCCGTACTAATCAATTATTAAGTATACCTCTAATTCTTTTGCATTAGGAAATATTTATCAAAATTCAGTTGGGCCCTGGCCGGTTTGGCTCAGCGGTTGGAGCGTCAGCCTGCGGTACAGAGAGACCCGGGTTCGGTTCCCGCTAAGGGCACGTACTTCGGTTGCAGTTTGTCCCCGGCCCTGGTTGGTCGTGCGGGTGGCAGTCACTCGATGTGTCCCTTCACGTCGATTTTTCTCTCTCTCTCTCTTCCTCTCTCTCCCTCCCGCTGTATCTGAACAAAAAAATAGAAAAATGTCCACGGGCGAGGATAAAAAAAAAAAAAAATCAGTTGGGCCCTGGTGGGTTTTGGTCAATGGTTAGAGCATAAGCCTGTGCACTGAAGGGTCATGGGATTGATTCTCGGTCAGGGCATATACCTAGGTTTTGGGCTCAATCTCCAGTCATGGAGAATGGAAGGTAATCAATCGACCAATGTAGGAAGAAGTTGGTAGGACTATAGATAAGGAGTGGCAAGAAGTTTACAGTAATAGCACATGGGTTTTTCACACCAGGGTTCATTATAATGTTCTCTCTCCTATTATGAACACATAAAATATTCTTTGACTGGAAAAGATATTTTTCCTTAAATGTTTACCATTTAAATTCTATGTCAGTGTCTCTCTGCTCTCATCTAGCCAAACCAGTTTCTCCTACTCCCTTTAAATTTCATCTCTTTCCCTTCATCTCCCAGCTCTCAGATCCATTCCATCCATTTTCTTCCTCAGAGTTGTTTCAAACTGGCCCCCTTTCTCCCCACTCCAAATCCATCGTCTCCTTCCCTGTCCCCACTTCCCATCCCCACCCAGCAAATCTCCCAGTGAGGGAATGAGGAGAGACCAAGGCAGGCAGTGACGTGCCATCTGCTTGTTCTTATGTGCGTTGGATTCCAGGTTTGATTTCAGACTACCTGTGTTAGTGGGGATGGGTTTTTTGATCCCTTATTCATTCAGAGACACATGGAACAAGGAAAACAACATTCAGTTTCTCTTTCAGTTTGGTGTCAGTATACACAGAAATTTAAATAAACCCCTTGGAACCTCTGGTTTTCAACAATAAGAATTTAACACTACACACACGAGACACTCTGGAAAGCTATTCCACACGAGCCTTCTGACCAACACCTCTGGGTGCTTTCTCACACACAGATGTTAATCACCCCTTAGCTCAGGTTGGGATCATGGCATCTGTAGTCTTAGCGAGCATTTATGTGACTTAGGACAGGCTCACATAGGGACCTGAACAATAATAAAAGCATGCATCTTAAAATAACCTGAATGCAGCCCTGGCCGGTTTGGCTCAGCAGTTGGTGTCAGTCCATGGACCAGAGAGTCCCAGGTTCAGTTCCCGCTAAGGACACCTGCCTTGGTTGCAGTTTGTCCCCAGTCCAAGTTGGGATTGTGTGGGTGGCAACCAGTCGATGTGTCTCTCTCTCTTCCTCCTTCTCTCCCTTCCACTCTATCTGAAGATAAATGCAAAAAAATGGCCTCAGGTGAGGATAAATAAATAAATAACCTGAATCCCAGTTAGGGCCCGCTTGCCTGTGGGGACCACGCCCTGCTAGAGCAGCCTCAGAGCAAACCAGGGCTCCCTCAGTGCACTCAGGTCCCCGCCCACTTCCTCTGGATTCCCAGCTCACCTGGTACCAGCTTTCCTTGGGCGAGTCTGTGAAGTGAGTCTCCGGGAAGGGTCTCCGAAGGCAGTCTTGTACCAGGAGTGGAGCTACTGTTGTGAGTTGGCTTTTATATACCACTAGGGGGTGGAACCCTTAGGACTTTGCTCATCAAAGACTTCTGGCTCCTCCCTCGCCAGGGTGGGGGTAGAGGATGTTCAGAAGTGCTGGCTGATGAGGAGAATTGATCTCCTTTAGTTTTATCAAGTCAGTAGAGGACTGTTAATACGCATGATCTCATTTGTACTTTTGAAATTCCCCCTGGTCCTTCACAATGCCCTTTAATCCCATCTTTGCTGATGAAGGAAATGAAGTCTGAAAGGCTAAGGAAGGCCTGTTTCTTTCCTCACCTGGGCATGTGTAACTCTGAGCCCACCAGTCTCGGCCTCCTGTGGTCTCCAGCCCTGGGCGGTCCTCCCCTCCCTCCACTCTCAGGACATCCCCCGTCTGCCACAGGACTCCTGCACAGGCAGGTTTTGTCCATGGCAGCCCCTTGCCCCAAATCCAGCGTTTACCCCTAGTACTGGCATTCTTTCTTCACATCCCAGCCTGGTTGTTACTTTCACTGAGAAGCATTCTTTGAACTCTAAAATTCTGTATCACAATTTATTATGGGAGAATTGTTTATTAGGGAAATTAGTATTCATATTAATTGCCAAAAATTTTACCCAGTTTCTTTTTGTTTTTAATTTCTTTTCAATCATGGTTGATACCACTCACATTCTTTTTTCTTTTATCCTCATCAGAGGACATTTTGGCATC